CCCCTTCACCCACAGCAGTAGATCAGAAGTTGTGAGTGGCTAATCCGGACAGCAGAGGAAAAACTAAATTCAGTTCTCTAATTCAGAAAGGACTAAAATGTTGATAGTAGAATTGGCATGAATATACACTCTTCCAAAGTGAGACTATATCTGGCCTCAGGTGGTTCAATCTGAGCAGGATTGCCTGGCAGTTCAGGATTATTTCCAAACACCCACAGAGGCTCCCCTGTGTCATGCTTAGGTCACTGAATCCACAGTATCAAGACTTTCCTACAGCAACTTGAAAAATTAGGGTTTGTGTCTTGGCCTTTCAAGTGTGGTGGCTTTGAGCAGCACATTGCTATGGATGTTTGGGGAGAGGGAGATCTTCCTACAGCAACACTCGGGAAGGGGTGGGAAGGCCACAAACAGCCATTTGTCTTGGGGAATCTGCTGCATTTGTCCATGATCTGACATCCCAAACAGTGTCAGTGCCAAACCCAAGCAGTGCAGACATTTGTGTCCATGCCTATTCTCTCCACCCAAGTGAACCCACAGGGCTCTCAGCCTGCCTGAAAACCATCAGAAATCTCTTTCATGCTGAGGTGTAAAGCTGCCAGTAACTGGAGAGAAGCCATAAACTGAGATTCACTGGTGCAGCATTATCCATGCAAACTGAGGCTCATGGCAGGAGCACCTCACTGCAATCCCTTGCAGGGTTGGGTTGGTGGGTTTCTCATGGTGAGAACATTTGGGTACACAGCAGATACCTTCAAACCCAGCCTCTACAAATCATGGGAATTATAAAGGGTTTTTTAAATGGTCTTAAAGCACTGACATTAGGGATTGTCCTCATCATGGAGCAGTGGGAGCTAATACCACTCATGGTGTTCTGTGTTATATCTGCCCCTATTTAAGCATGAACTACTCCTGGGATTTGGTCTCCCACTGCTCCTCAGCAGTTTCTCCACTCATCTGCCTCACCCAAGCAGCTCTGAGTCCCTCACTGGCACACACCAAATGGCTGCTGTTATTCCCATGAGCACAGGAATTCCACACCACTGGGGCACCTCAGGGGATCCCATCCAGCCCCTGGATGCTGCTCCAGAAGGGTTCCCACAGGCCATCCTGTCCCCAGAGACATGTCCCAGTTGTTCATGCCATCCCCTGTGGCACTGGCCTCCTCTCCTGTGGGCAGCAGGTCCCAATGTGACCTGGCTTTGGAGGCAGCTGGAAATGGGCCAGGAGTGCCAGGATGTCCTGATGCTGTGGCTGTCTGAAGGCCTGGAGGGAGCAGGAGCTGGCAGCTCTCTGATCTCAGCTGCATGGACATTGGGGCATAACACCACTGATCTATCACCCATGCACCAGGCTGCAGGAAATTTCCCAGATCCTTACAGAAAAATCACCATTTGTATGAATTCCTGCCCTTTTCCTGCTATTTTTCCCTGAAGAACACATCCAGCATGGAGGTACAGCCCATTCTACCATTTTTGCCATTTCTCTGGAGGAAACCATATGTATTTATCCTGGGGAATGCCTGTTAGCCTGTGTAATATTTTTGGAAAATAATTCCTCTCCGGGGTTTTTAATCACTGTTGGTGCATAAAAATAAAATAGCAGAATCTGTGACCAGATGGTGTGTTGGGTGACATGGGGCTCTCTTCACCAACATGTAATTCCTCACCAGCCCTTCAGGACTGCTTCCCTTGCCAGTCCTTGCAAGAGCTGCCTGCAAGGTCCTCTCACCCTGAACCAAATTCATTTTTGGGTTAGGAGGAAAACTTTGAGGCATTTGAAGAAGAGAGACATTTTCAGCAAAAGTCAGGGAGAAAAAAAAGCAAGAGAAACAGCCTTATCTCTGATCATAAGCTACTGGAGTTTATCTTCATTGGAGCCCTGCAAGGTCCTCTCACCCTGAACCAAATTCACTTTTGGGAAGGAAGAAAACTTTGATGCATTTGAGGAAGGCAGATATTTTCAGGAAAAGTCAGGGGCCAAGGAGAAAAGCAAGAGAAACAGCCTTATCTCTGATCAGAAGCTGGAATTTATCTTCACTGGAGCCCTTCAAGAGGAGAGGCTGATGAGGGATCTGCAGCTCCCTGCTGTCCTGACTTTGCTTGAGAAACCTCTGAGCTTTCCACTCCTCGTGGGAATTTTTTCCTGCAGTCTCAGTCACTGCTGATTTTGGTTGATCCAAAGAATGGGGAGTGGAATCCATTGCTTTTCATCATTCAGAAGCCACTCACCAGGTTTTGACACAAAGCCAGCTTGGCTCAAAGCCGGGCCCACGGCCAGCTTGAAAATATTCCTGAACCTTTCAACAATCCCTGGCTGGTTTTCAAACTTAAAACAAAAGCCAAGATCAGGGAAAGTTTGCAAAATTTTAGGTTATATAAAAAAATATCTGCACAACCTGTGATAAATTCCCCGCATTTGTTTTCAGTTATTTTCATGCTGAGAGAATCTGCCAGACTCCAGACCCTGCTCTTGCCTCAGAAAGCATAACCATGGTTTTCAGAAAAAAAAAAAAAAAAAAACCAAAAAAAAAAGAGACCGGTCTGACAGGTGTGGAGGAAGATACAGGATGTGCTGGGAAGCTACCTGAAAATTATTCTGTCCAGTTCACTCCTGTTTGGATGGATTGCTCCTTGTCTAAAGTGTCCCCAGATAGCCCATTGTGTCAGGAGTGTTTGAGTTTATGGCAGATTATGGCAGTGTTATAAAAAAGCTGGAGCTGTGTATCTCCTGCTGGGTCCGTTCCTATGGCTTAGGAACAGGCAGGAATCTCTCTCTGAGCAGGAGAAATAAAGAGTTTTCAGAAAAGCTTGACAGTTTCAGATATTCAACAACATGACAGTCTTCTTATTCAGAAACTTATGAATACTTAGTCACACGGAGAGAACAAGGAAATGATTTACTTCCCCCGGTGAAGGGGGCGGGAGTCGTGGCTCTCTAGGTAGTGTGGAGCAGAAATACAGCTGCTGCAGCCACAAACACAGGGAGGCTGCAGGGCTGCACTGCCTGGGATGCTGCTCTGCCTGCCATGGCCGGCCAGACACGCACACAGCCACACAACAGCTCTTTATTGAACAGGGAAAACAAAATGGGAAATGTCTAAAGCACATTACTACTCTTACAGCACTGCTGATTTGACAGCCTGAGAGTCCACAGCCAGCAAACACCAAAAACAGATCTGTATCACTCACTTTGCCTCCACCTTGCCACAGTTTGACACAAGCAAACAAACACGTCTAAAAACCCCTTTGCAGAGGATTACAAAAGCAGAAAAATTTCTTTGCATCTCTATTTCTTTCTTCTTTCTTTTTTTCTTTTCTTTCTTATTTTTCTTTTATTTCTGTCTGTCTATTCTGCATTCTCTAAGTGTAAATCTACAGCCACGTCAAGCCTGAAGAAGCCTTCATTAATTGTAAGAAGTTCCACAGTGATTCCATTTAATGGTGATTTACACATCCATTTAATGGTGATTTTTAAGAGACCACCCCTCTTTGTTCTGTATGCTAAGATTCAGCATGGCCATATTTTTATCCATCAGTGAACACAAAATTGCTCACAAGATTATTTCCCCCCACTCTTTGTGCCATTATATGGTTGAGGCAGACTGGACTGGAGACCCCAGTCCTGCGCTTTTCACACACATTCACACATCCTGACATTCCCAGCCCTCTGCCTCCAGTGGAAAGTCACGTTCCACAGCCCAACACTCAGCTCAGCGAATGAGCAGCGCATCAGCAGAGAAGCTGCCTGCCCAGAGCTACAACACAGCAGAAACATTTCCCACATCAGCTGAGGGGTGCTGTGTTCTGTTTTACCCCTGAGCTCAGTCACAGACAGGCAGCAGGGACACATCCATGGGCACTGACACATACTGAAACCCCACGGAACCACTCGTGTGGTTACGAGCAGAGCAGCACACACAGACACAGACTGTGCTGCTCCTGGCCAGCCACTCTCTGTGCTGATTGACTGGAGGGGATTAGAAGGGACTCAGCCCAAAAACGCAGCTCCTAATGCTCCTGCAGCTATTGCATAATAGAGATCGATCCCTGTCCGGAGCCCTGACCCTCAACTTACTCAAGACAAGTTTAATGCTTCAGGCTCTGTAATGGAAACATCTACTTCCCAGGGAGATGGGATGCATCAGCTCCCCCAGGGCTGGGGTTTCTGGCTGTTTGGGTTCTCTGATACACAGCAGAGGGAAAGAAAGTAGGGAATTGTCACCAAGAATGAAAGAGAGTAATTTTTCCCCAAACATTTCTACCAGAAGCTATGGGGAGCTGAAGCCTGCTGGGGTCCATTAACAGATATACACCTGCTGTTAATACATCTACTAAAGAAAGCAGCCCTAAACCAAGGGAAATTGAACACATCCCAAAAATAAACAGAAAATCAAAGAACCTGCAGACCCTAAACTGAATGCACCAGAAGTCAAGCACACCTTGGTGTTCCAAAAGTGGAAAACACAGCAAGCAAGAAGTCCACAAATAAATGAACAAGTCCTAAAAGCATGCACAAAATGCACAAACACTTCTGAATAGGCACTCCATTAAAAGCTGCATGTTGAAATAATGCAAGTGGCCATGCAGGAATTCCAGGGGGCATGGGGAATAGCTGAAGTAAGTCCATTGAGATCTGTCACTCCAGATGTGAACAGGTGTATGACAAATGAGGACAGATCCACATCAAGTCAGGTGAAATCAAATTCTTTTCGACATTCGCCTGAAATCTGGCTGTCTTGTGCCTGACAAACTGCAAAGAGCTTTAGGGAACTTGGCTGTCTCCTGCGTCCCCCCTCCCCCACATCAGCAAAAATAACTATTTGCAAAGGCCGCATTTGCTGGGTATTTTCTCTTTCTCACTAACTCGTTAGCAATGTTTCCAAGCAGCCAGGCTGGGAAGAAAACAGAGGAAGCGTCAGCAACGAGACAACCGGGAGACGATGCCGCTGCCGCCGCCAGGGCCCCTTTGTTGAGCATCCCTGGGTACCCCTCGCCTTTTACCTGGGGATGCAGTCGCCATGGTAACGGGCGGGTGTTCCCTGGCGGAGCCGAATCCCAGCTGTTGGCGCTGCTCAGCCCCGTCTCCAT